GATAAAGAGGCAGATCAGCGTACCTTTGTGAAGGCTGATGGTCATAGTGACACTCAATGTCCATCTCGGAGCAATTGGAGCATGTCGGTTTTGCAGCGTCGCATCGCCGCTTTCTATCAACAATTAGGGACACTGAGGCGAATCAGAATGCGCAGAGGACATACCGGCTCCTGCAGAACTGGCAGGCCAATGCGACTCGTTTACGGTAGAAACTCATGGCTTGACGACGTCTCTTCTGCCGCGGCACCGCATAACATTGGGGATTGGGGACGATGCTACTTCGTACTTTTCAGTTTCCCCCCCGGAGTCACGAGCCAAGGAATGATTGCGGAGAAGAGAAGGCCCTAAACTAACTCCATCCACCATCATTATGCGCTAAAGCAAATGTTAGTTCCGGTGGAATCAGGTGATCTCCAGTCCAGTTCATCCATGTCAATCTTCCAGCACATTGACGCTTTTGTCCCGTATCGAATCAGTATCGAGAGAATGCAAACCGAAGACTTACGTATTCCACATACGCCTGGAGCTTTGGAAAATCAAGACTGCTCAGTACCTTTCCAGAGTTGTGGTCTTGCGCCAATATCATCTCATCTCCCCCTGTTCCATACGGTGTTTACCAGACTACTGGGTCCACTAGCACCATCACAATCCCTGCTGGGCTCTGTCTTTCCAATCTCCAAGAGCCGAATGAGTAGGTAGTGTGTTGAAGTAAGACTTAATAAGTTGTTCACATTGAATGCCATTGTAAGGCTGTGTTTGAAGAACTTCAGCCGATTAGTGTAAAGTTAAGAGGACGAGGGCACTGCAGAGAGAAATCAGGGTTCTACATGCTTTGGCAGTTTTCCAGTTTTAGCTACAGGTTACGTCCGGGCTGTTGATTGCAGGAATACAGTTACCTGGTGACGTTGTGCCCCTTTTCAGGCCGTTTAATAAACTTGGTACCTACAAAAATGCTATGTGTAAAAAAACACAAAGGAATTGAGGATTGCTCTAGATTTAAACTCAATTGAAGTCTATTCTAGCTTTTTATGTGAAGTCACTAATCGGAAATGTTAGTTTGCGCCGTAAGTCGTTGTGAGGAGCCTGAGCAGCAACCTTGGCTTGTTGCCTAGTTTCGCTCATCTGCTTGAAATGAATGCTGAGATTCAAAACGAATTTTCCCTGCTCATTTATGAGAGACCAAGCGGGCAAAGAGACACGGCACGCCGAGTGATTAGAGGTGGACAGCCACTATAGTAATCTTGATACTTGCATGCAGTCTCTAATTTTTACAATAAATAAGCTTGTCTCGTTTCAAAGGCACTAGAAACGATTTTTACGATGGCTCTAGAGAATTCTGCATGCAATTGGTCAGCCGCCGTGTGTAATATTAGCCGCTGGCTGATGCGCCGTGTCTGAAACGCAGGGGAAACAAGTTTCGTCCACCCTGATGCAGCAATGAAACACTACACAATTGTGCACACAACCGCGCAGCGAGAATCGCAACTAATGACGTAGAATTTCATGTTTATTTCGGGTTACTCAGCCTTTGAGCTGGAGTTTCATGTTTGACCCGCTGGGCTTAGACGGAATCTGATTCGTGTCTGATTGGGCTACAGGAATGAATCTGTCCAGTAATAGGTCAATCAAGCTCACCGTTCTGTATCCCACAGATGGGGCTACGCCTTACCGGAGGAATGCGAACCAGAAGTCGTGAGACTAGGACAGCTACAGCCCAACGGATGGTTTGGTTGCCGCCCGTTTTAGCAACCACAGAAAAGGGGCTGGTTCAGTGAGCGATCCGCCTGCAATTACTACATGCATGTTGGATGAACACGTCAATCCCAATACATTAGCCTCTCCGGATCATGCAGAGTGCTGCAACCCATCGCGGCGGCAAGTAGCGAGCTATGAACTGTACATAAGGCACTGTTTGGGGTACCGTTTCCATCCAATGAATGTGCTGTAAGCATCTGAGACTGCGTCAGAGGTTGAGCTGATTCGTTTGGCTTACGCCCTCTATGATCACCACATAACCGCCAAGCCTAGTGAAGGAGAAATTCTCAAGAGCCTCGCCGCCATAACAGAGAGCATAAATAACCCCCCAATTTCCGCTCTCAACGACTGTTATTCCATCCACCATTCAGCGCGTCTACTTCGATAGGATAGGGCCAGTTTCCTTCTGTTCCATTTTTGTTTCTCATTGAGCACTCCCTCGTTTTGTCGCTTTCAACTTTCTTCAATTCCTTCCTTTCTTTTCCTTTCCCTTTGTTGTCTATCCATACCTCACCTCACCCCCATTTAATATTCCTTCTCAACCCTTGTCAGTCATTACTTCTTTGACATTGTCGCATAATAATGTTGCAACCGCCATTTGACCCTCAGGGTTTCAGTGAGTCCTGCCTCAATTGCCATCCAAGGCAATCAATCCTCTGGGATCGTTTACGAATGCTCATTCGCGCAGTTAATCAAGGACAACCTCATCCGAACATACACACAAATAATATAATCGCATTCACCCCTCAGGCAAACTTCCCTGTCCTCGATATGGCTGGTACATATGGGGCTCCTGTGCCGAGAAACCCACGCCGAAGACAAGGACGAGCATCTCGACCCGGGAGTGACGAGCTAAGACAAGCAGAAGGTCAATTTGCCTGCCACTTCTACAAATTCAATCCTGTCATGTACGATAAATGCAAAAAATGCAGTTTCACCAGACACTCCGACGTCAGGCAGCACATCGTCCGATGCCACTCTCTGGTCTCCCCCTACTGTGTTAGGTGCTGGAAGGAGTTCTCGAACCAGCGGGAATATTCTGAGCATATCACCCAGGACCATTGCCAGATCCGACCGAGGCCCGAGGAGCTCATCCGGGAGGAACTTGACAGGTTGGGAGCGTGCCGTAGGGAGGACGATAATAAGGAGAAGTGGTTTGGCATTTGGGATCTATTGTTCCATGGACATCCCCGGCCTGACTCCCCTTACCTCCCATCTTGCATCTTTGAGGAGGGTCTGACCCTCATTCAACCCTTTGTCCAGGATCTTCTCCATCAGCATGGTGCGGCAGGCCCAGTACCAGGAAACATCCTTCACATGGCCTATCAGACCTACTGTCATCGCCTTCCCATGTCTCGGCACCCGCTATCTTTGAACAACGAGGGCTTCGCTTACCAGGCGCTCCCTCATCACCTTCTCCCCAATAACAACGGACCTTACGCCGACACAAATCGGCTCGAAGCCGAACCGGGATTGAATTATTACCCTGCGCCATTTTAATGGCAGAATGGGCTTTTTTTGCGACCTTAGGGCCAATAGCTCTGGCACTTTGGTTAACCAAGAGTGTCCATGAGTGGACGTCGAGTTGGATCTTCAATCAGCGACAAGGAGATGGTTCGGGCAGGCCCGTGAACCATCAGTGAGATTAACTAGATGGAGGCACATGGAATAGCATGGGAAGGACTTCTTGATGTAATATTCCGGAATGATTCATGACGCTTAACAAGTGTAAGGACCAGTCTTGGTTATCATGCCCGCGGGCGGGTTGGAAGAACACCAAGTACTTTATGGCATGAAAGCTGGTCTTTCTGGAGGAGTAATTGTAAGAAGAAACAGAATAAAAAGTAATTAGTGAGAGATACGTGCACTGGATGTCCCAACTGAATAAACTTTTAAGTATATGCTGCTGCTATCACCCAGGTCATGAGCTAAATTGAATTAAGATTGTCAAGGAGTGCCTCTCCCCCATCTGCAGGTGTTACGATGAGAAGTGATGGGAGGGAAACAAGAGACTGAACACTCTTTTGTTCGATTTAGGATAAGAACTATGGCAGATTGACTAGCTACAGGACACCTCATGCTCGGATCATGTCGTACCCATACCAATCTCTGACCCAATTCATTGCCTACTAGTTTGTTTATCACAACGCCCGAAAAGCCGAAAGGAAGGATCATGGATATTTCCAGATCTGGCGCACAGACTCACTCATCCCTGTGATCAATGTGAGCTGGTGAGTTACGCACAATGGGCTTCAAGTTTCGTACTTACTACGAGGATGAGAACTGTCCTCCAGTCCCGGATAACCAGTAATCTTGGGAAGGAGTGCCGTAGTCCTGTTGGGAACCTTCTCCTTGTGTACCAGAATTGCCTCCTTGGGTGGCATTGCTGGAACCTCCAGAAGAGGAGCCACCGGCATTGGCTCGAGTGCTACTTGGAGGGTCGGTTGTGAAGATAGAGGGGGGTGCCTCATTTCCGTTCATCGTGTACTCTTGGATAAAAGGCATGTTTAAGGAAGCGTTATTCTGAATTTGAGTGTGCAATAGAGTTCTTCTGAAGGATGAGGAGGTGATGGTATTTTTGGAGGGAGCTGAAGAGTGAGGACTGAGGGCATTCTAGAGAGAACTCGGGGTTCTTTATACCTTGAATTTACCAGCTCAAGCTACATCTTACGAGATGACCATTGTTTCAATACAGCTACGTGGGAAATGTCCAAAATGTTGGACAGTCAGTCTTCTGCCTTGGGCAATCCGATTCTGTCACGGCGGCCTGTCCAAAATCTCTCGGCTTGATACCCAGTTAAGCGAGGCTAAGTGAAACAGCCGAACTCGCCATGGATGGGATTCACGAGAGATGCGCACGGTTTCAAGCGATAGCCTGTCCAAAGTCTGATTTCAATGAATGCCATTTGGGGTCGTCGAAGGTCCTGTGATTGGCGCTCGCTCATCAGCCTGTCCAAAATCTGGCCAAAATCTTGCCCCACATCCAAGAGGCTCCCTGCCGAAATAATCTGGTTCTGGTAGATCTCTGCTGACGTCAATTCCACAGATCAACTTTGAAAGATTTTGCTCTGGATGGGTAGATAGGGGCAAGCTTATCTCAATCACGGCATCGAGGCAGAGGACGATGGAATATTCCTCCGGAAAGACTGCAACAACACCCGAGACGGTTCGCTAGCCTAGAGTGACCTGAGTTTGTCTTATCGCTGTTGATACTACTTACTAAATAGAAGCTTAGAGTATTGATTTCCTACTGATCAGTCTTATATTCATATCACAAGATATTACATCGCATTCATTTTCTTCGTTTGTTTCTTTCCCACAAAGAGCTCAATTTTTAGGAATTCATAATTTTTACGACTGACGTAAGACGGCATAGCCCCAAATGTGGCAGCCACAAGTTTTTGGACAAAATCATAAGGCACCATCAAAATGCCTAAGCGAGTATATTCGGGCCAAGGGGCTGTAGCCCTTGTGGTCCAAATTCTAACTGAAACACGGGGTATCTGATTGGCTTTTTGGGCCCTCCGTCGAGTAATTTGAGCCAAGAGGAAGGGAAATACACGATATTCTTGGACACTGCTGTGTCAGAACAAAGCGTTGGGTGTAAATCAGGGCCCGATTCGCTGTGAGGCAGAAGGACCAAGCCACCGAGACTGCCTTGGCGTATAGGAACAGCTGAAAGCTGCAGAGACAGGTAGTGCATGATACTGTGAAATGATGGTTGTCTGGGGGAAGGGATAGTCTTTTTTTTTAGTATGCCTCTTTTAATATCGAACGGATTTTTTCTCGAAGATACCAAACTATGAATGAAGCCTGACCATCTTACGAACTCTCATTGAACCTTGGGACTTTGGGAGAGCCTCAGGAACAGACATCCTACAAGAATGCAGTCGTCACTTAAATCGAGCTTACCTTAATTACTTTAGTGGTCAATAAAGCACGTTATTACAGACCTACTATTCGCATATTTAATCACCTGTGTCAACTCGCAGTTGCATTAAGTATTTATAGTCACTCCCGTACAACTATTGGCACACACAACTAGGGTTTGGGACCACACACCTGGGCGACATATGCCCTCATCAAGTCGACACATACCAAAAGCTACACTATGTAGAAGGTATCCTCCCCAGTACTATGTTCATTTTTCCAAGGTGGGTAGTGGGGTGATAAGTATAGGTGGCGGTACGCCCATCCAAATTGCAGCAAGCCTATCCGCCGGAATCTGCCCATCTCGCCACAAACAAGTTCGAGTAGCAGACAGTAACTTTTGGGTAGACCATCTGAGCATTGATCATTGTCGTACCAAGGCACATAGAATAGTCTTCCTGAAGCATTTAAGACAGAGATGTCTGTTTCAGTAGCTGCAAAATCAAGAATAGCCGAGACGAAGAAGAATTGACTGTTAGTGCTCGAGATTTCACGTTCCCGGAGAGCCTCCATATCTTGTTCTTCAGGAACGGCGACAACATCAACAGGAAACACATGGAGGTTTTTCGGACCCCTTCGAAGTATCATCGGCCTTAAAACACAACGAACCATGATTTCGATGCTCGGCGTCGACGGAAGCATGATCATGTCTTCGCTGAATGAGTATTCTTCAGCGTCCCTGTCCGCAGAAGTGCGCCATTTGACGCATGTGATCTGTGGCAAGACGAACTTCTCGTCAAACTCCCCCATTTGCATGATGGCTACCTGGTGCAGCCCCCTCTTTTGCAGGTGGTCTTTATGTAATGTAACCTGGTGGCCAGAGATCCAGGAGAACGTCAACTGAATTGGCCTTGAGGAAGGACCGTTCACCTCAGGTTCTTGTACGTTCTGCCAAAGCATGTCAAGAGAAAGGCGACTGAGCCATAACCCAGCCACATACACATCGTCTCCGAGAAGCGCGCTAAATCGCTGAGCGATACCTGCTACGGCTGCAAGCCTGTCTTCAGCAAATGTAAGCTTTGTGCCCGAGTATTCCTTCACCAAACACCACCAGGTATAATAGATGTCTTCACCAACGGTCGGTAGGAGTGTCTTGATGTTATGTCCTGAGATAATGTCGCGCGGCCATATGCCCCAGGGAAATGGGTCCCAGACCACGACATCCGACCCCATGGATTCGATCCAGCGTTGCTCATAACACTCGTACAGAACCATTTCCTTGCAGAAGAAGATGTTTCTGGGGGCAAGCAATCGCTCCTGGAATGCCCAGCCGCGGCTATTCAAGGGAGAGAACTCAACTAACTCCTCCCAGGCTCCATCGGTTCCATCCTCCATAAATAGCAGAAGAAGAAGCTTCTTCCCTCCCTTTTTGGAGGACATCTCAAACATTGCAGGCTGAAACATGGCTGGGTCTCTTTTTGTAAACAATCCGCCTATTTCAGAGCCCCATGAAGCGCAAATGTTAAAACATGCGTTCGAATATACATTCTTCATCGTTGGTGCCTCTTTGTTCCAATCTTTGAGCTGGTCCCCCTCCTGGATGATGCAAAGAGAATCGATCCAGAGGTAATCGACTCCAAGGCGCTTAGCCGCTTCAAAAGCATCCAGAAAAGTCCGAGGAAGAATTTCTATCGGTATTCTCTGTCTCCACGATAATAGATTGCCGACAGTCAGTTTTATCATGTTCGCCTCTCCCCAACGGTGGCTTAAAGTAGCGTACTGACTGCCTACAGTGGGGTGAGCCCCGTCTACGAGTCGTAAACTGAGCTCTTTTCTGTCGTGGCCTTTGCGCCAGCTGATGTGGACCAGCCGGGTAGGATACCAGTCCTTTGCGCCTTGCTCTCGATGATAGTCGCATTGCCTGTGTTCGGAGTTGCAGCGATCGAGGCACTGCTCGATTTTCCGAAACGTCTCTTCCGAGCCCGTTGAGCTCGAGGTAATCCTCCAGCTTGGCGGCACCATCGAGGACACTTCGCCAGTGTGATCCATTATGCGGCCGCCAAAATGAGAATAACTTTCGAACTTATCTCCAAACAGTAAAGTTACGTAGAAAAAGATACAATTTTTATTATACTCCATACGGACCACTGGAGGACCATCACGGGATTCGTAACAATCTGGCATCCCGCTAACGAAGCCCCCATGCTTCTGGTTTCGTGGAAGCGGTCCATTGAGGCCTCGTAAGTGCGATTGTTCATGTTTTCGGAGTTTGTGGAAGAGCCGTCTGCAAATATAGCACCCATTGTCGACAGAGCAAAGGAAGGTTTCGGTTGAACGTTCGTCATTAGCCCAGAGCTCGTTTTCGACGTCCCAGTGTAGATGCTTGCTTATAAAATGTTGACATGGTGCACATAAAGACATGATAATAATTCAGCATTGTTCAAAGTATTGTAGCATGACATAAATTAGGTTTTGAGATCAGGAGCAGACACATTTTTGCCTCAAGAGGGGGAGAGCTGAGTGTGTGATGTGGCGCAAAACTGCACAGCCCCAGCGACAAGTGTTGGCACCAAATCGTAAGTGCCCATGAGAACGCCTGACCGGCCAGGCCCATTTTGGACGCAACATTAGCTATGGGCCAACAGATTTTGGACGTACTACCGTAATTTCTTCAAATAATTCGTCTGTTTTGCCCCCAGTGTTTTGTACTCAATTTTCTATCTTTGTCTGAGCGTGGGGAGCGCAGTTGCAGCCGGCTCTATTCTTATGCCAGGAAACTACTTTTACTGCTTTGTAACAGAGCTGTAGGAGCTTTCTATTGGCTATTACTTGGTGGGGACGGGAGATGATTGGGCATATGCAGGGAAACGGGTCGAAATACTATTTTGGACGATTAGTTTGCGAACACTTATACAGTTCCCTGTAAAACTCATACTTTTTAATCTTTAATATAAAATTTTATAAAAATCTTGAAAAATATAATTATTATATAAAAAGTTTATTTATTAATAAAATAACTATATCTACTTTTTATTTTATTTTTAAGGTTTTTCTTAATAAAATAGTTTAACTTTTAAATAGAAATAAAATAGAAAAACCTTAGGATTAGAATTATAATAGCTTCCTTCTTAGATTAGGGAAGATTTTTAATTATCTCCAGTAAGAAATATAGTATAAATTAGAGAAAATTTATATTATATAGATAAAATACTAAATTTATTATTATCTAAAATATAAATTTATATAAAAATTATATATTAATTAAATTTAGTTATTTCTACTTATAATATTAAATTTATAAGTTATATTATAATAATTATCTAAGATATTAGATAAAATAGAATTTAGAATTTCCTAGTTCAAGGTGGGGTACTGTGAGGTATTTGCAAACTTATCAACCAACATTTTAACTGGGGGCCAACCAGTCGAATTATTTGAGGAAATGGTGCTATTCCTTCAATTTGTTGAGCGCTAAAATTGGGTTAGGGGCCTACGCCAGCGTTGTGACAGAGTGAAACATTGGGTGCAAATTAGGTCCTGGGTCGCTGTTAAGCAGATGGACCAAGCCTCTCAGACTGCCTTGGCGTGCTGGTCGTCTGGAAGTTGCAGAGACAGACAGCAGTACATCATGCAGTGAAATGATTTTTGTTTGGGCGGATGAAAAGGCTTACGCCCTAGGCCAAGGCAGCCTTCAGAATCTACCAACTGTCACTTCCTGTTGGGCTCTACTACATGATGCGACACGCATAGAGTGAGGCTAAGAGTTGTCCAATTTCTGTTCTTCAGGAGAAAACGATTTTGGCCGCCTATCAGCCCGGCTGAAGAGCGCCCGGATCTCCCTCTTGAGCAAGCAATCCACGTCAGGGATTTCCCAAAATAATGAAACAGACTTGTTCAATTTGTGATTGCATAAGTCATGCATGTCTAGCCAGCATTAGGAAAGACAATGTTTCAGGTAAGATACTGTTTTCCGATATGTCATTTCGAACTAACCCGCCTAGCTCTTCGCATGTTCGCGCTTTATCAGCAACCTGGGATTCTATCATCGATACATTAGCCAAAGACACTCAGATATTGGAGCACATTGATGTTACTTGGGAGCATCTCCCTCTTAACGCTTATCAACGGTAAAGGAACTGGTTGCCAGTGACACCCAACACAATGCCCAAAAGCCCAATGTGACGCCAAGACAAGGATTTTTTTCAGCTCCCACTCCCCAGCCACTCATAAACACCCCGATATGCAGGCATTACAGTGTGGCGTCGGTAAGCACGGGATCTTTTGCCTCGTCGCCCGGTTTCGCTCACCGACCGAGTCCTGCACTTCTGCCTCTCTTTGACCTGTCAAGCCTGTGTAGTGTCCAAAGTCTACGAAAATAACGATCTCCTTATAGCCGTCGATCATCAGCTGCCCCTATTCCTCTACGGGTGGATTTGGCCGGGGGGGTTTACAGGGAAAAGGGGGGCGCGAGAGCCGTCATCCCGGTTATCGTAGCAGTGAGAAAAAATGCATGAAAAATTTGAACGTAGCATTGTGTTACCTAGGTTTCTAGCCCATCTGCTCGGTCAGAATGGCCTTGTTGGGCCATCCATGCCCGCATCGGTCGCGGCCGCCTCCCACAAAAGCAAAAACAAAAGGAAATTCAAAAATCAAAATCCCAGCGTAGTAAGAAAACTAGCAATCCCATTCTAGTTCTGCAAGTACGGTCTTCTCCGGGTCTCTGCGACGAGGGCCTGGAGCCCCCGGAGGTCATCCTCGTAGGTCTCCTGCGCACGGTTCAGCTCGCGCACGACGTCGTAGTACCGAGGCCGTGGCTCGGGTGCGGACGGGGATGGATTGTTGTCACCAAAGTACATTGGTCCGTCGTTGGCTATCCAGCCCTCGCACCAGCCCGTGTCGAACGCGCTGTATCGGGCGGCGTAAGGTTTGTCGTTCTTCATCAGGTCGGGTCTGCGGAGAAATGTCTCGCGCACCTCTTCTACCTCTGGTATGTAGTCAAAGCGGAAATCTGTGAGGGCGGGCAACTCCTCCCGGATTGAATTGAACACCTCTTCCCATGTTCCGTTAAAAAGGAAGACTTCGTCGTCCTCGTCGCCGAATCCAAACGCTCCCCTGGGCAATGGGACCCAACCGGTATTGTCGATCCCCCACTCCTGCCTTAAGTTCTGGTTGAAACGAATGTGTGAGCCGATAAAACACCTGTCCAAGCGCAGGGTATGAATGTCCTTGCTCCTCAAAACCCAATCAAACTGGTTGGGATGCACGATTGCGTATGCGCCCAAGTGAAGGACGCGCAGGTTGGGGAAATAGAGGTGGCTGGTGTCGAATCTCGCCGGCATCGCTCCCCAGCTCACCTGGAACATGATGGTGAGAGTGGTGAGCTGGTGCGCGATGGGCTCTATCCAATGAGTTTGTAAATGTGGCTCGAAGCCCAGGCGCTCAGGGCGTTGAAGGTCGAGCATCATCTCGCTGTCCAGGGTGTTGCGTTCCTCGCCCACCACGAGGTGTAAGCCGTGGAGCTCTCGGATGATCGTCTTGAACGCGTCAGAGGCGACCAAGTCGGGAAGGATCAGGTTTTGGAGGTTCTCAATCGTGAGCGAGCGAATTGGACTGGCGTCGGGTGTTTCGAGCATACGCCGATGCAGCACGTTGAAGAAGTTGAGGAGGTTGCGGACGCGTGTCGATTCGGTCTCTACATCCTCCTCGTAGTACAAGTCCTCGTGAGTTCGGCACGTCTTGTTGTAGTGGAATGCAACGGCCGTGAGATTCTTGAGCTTGATGATGCGAGCGAGTGCATCGGTATACCTGGGATACACTCCCTGGTTCTGCCAGATAACCCAGTATCTATTGCGTGTCTTGAAAGGCATAGGGGAGCTGTTGATGTGCACTCTCTTGGTACACTGCTGGACGACTTCCTTTTCCATAAGTTCGTTCCACCTCTCGAGCCATGGGGACTCGTGGCGTAGATGCAGAGCGTGGAAGAGATGCCGCGAGGCCAGGGAGTCCCACTGGCGGCACACGAGGCGAGCATCGGAGACGTAGATGCAGTTCTCGCCGCCGGGTGCATCCCACTGATCATCTAATTCAAAGAGATGGCGGATGATGGTGTCGATCATCTCGAGCGGCATGTCCTTGAGCTCCATGACGGCGAGAATATCCTGCGGGCAGTCCAGCCTGGGAGCGGCTGGGCCTGAGATCCATCAACAAAGTTAGATGCAACTTTTAAGATGCATTAGTTTGCTGACTGCCGTTCCCAGAGCGGGGTCTTTATTTTTCGGATCGCTTTATTTTCGTGCATGCATGGATGGCCCCCTTACCCCCTGGTCGATAAGCTCGCACCAACAACGCCTCTTCATTACTTCACAACTGACTCGGTGTCTCACTTACCGAGTTTTGCCATCCCTCGTATCTCATGTACCATTGGCATGAGCCCCGTTGCACCGAGCCCAACGTGCGGGTTGCATCGGGCAGCACGACGCCACGCTGCCATGCCTGTGGTGCCGCTCCAGACATTGCAGCGCTCGTTGCCAGTCGAGCCATGACTAGTTCGACGCCGACGGTGCCGGCTGAGAAGCGGATTGGCGAGCTGGACCTGTGGTGGCCGCGCGTAGTTCCGTATTCAAGGCCATCTGCCTTACTCGCGACCGAGGCCCAAAACCGCGACCCCCCTGACCAGGGTCGGGTCGCCATGCTGCTGCCAGACGCGGACTTGTTTCCAGAAAGAAGCACGCCGTATTCTGCAACTCTTCGCGCCAACGAGTTCCGACTGATCAATCTCCCAGCGGTCCATGAGTACGATAGCCCCGTCCACTTGACGCTAGAAATCTACGACCTCGATGACTGTCCCGAGTACGAGACGGCCTCATACACATGGGCTGGCGAGGATGAGGACGGCGCGCTATGCAAGCCTGTCTACATCGGCCCGTTCTGGCACGTCCTTTTGCAGACGAAAAACTGCTGGGAAATGCTGCGCTCTGCACGGCCATGGCGAGGAACACGGATGATCTGGGTCGACGCCATCTGCATCAACCAGGGCAACATCCCAGAGCGTAGCAGTCAAGTAGCAAACATGGGCCGCCTGTACCTCAGCTGCAGCAGGACTGTCGTTTATCTGGGGCCCGACGTGGTCTCTCCGATGCACGGCAAACACCCCCGTCGACACAGGCTGCATGAACTTGCAACAGGCGCTGTGAAGCCACGCTTCGTCGACATTTCCGGTTCACCGAAGACGCCTCCGCCGCATCAGCTGAGAGATCTTCTCGGGCGTCGGTACTTTTCTCGGATTTGGGTCATCCAGGAACTGCTGCTCTCTCAACGCGTCTCAATCCGCGTGGGTGACGTGGACTTCTGGGCTGACCCGGCCATGGCGACTTACCTCGAGGCAAGTTTACCTGGCTGGGACTGGGAAGACACGGCGGCCGCGTGGGTGCAACACATGGCGAAAGGAACTCTAGGTATTAAGAGCCTCCAGGAACTGCTGAGACTGACCTCACGATCTCAGGCGACGGACCCGAGAGACCGTCTTTTCGGATTGCTCGGGATTCTTCCCGATCTGTCAGCCTCGATGGAGGAGGTGGGCGGTGATTCATCGCTATCCCTGCGTGGTCTTCACGCGGACTACTCACTGTCCTATCAACATGTATTCATTGGCCTCTTCGGTTACTGTCTCATAAACTTGAGGCAGCCAACTATCCTTCACCATGCTTGGGGTCCTGGGTCACATGGGGATAAATATCCCACATGGGTTCCAGACTGGAGATCACAACAGACTTGGGAACGATTATTCTTACACCCGCAAGCGGATAAACAGCGTTTTTATCAAATTGGCCAGACTCTTCATGTCGGTGAAGACGGCCAAGTAATGCCAGAACTGATTACGTCGTCAGTTGACTTGTATGACCTGGTTGGTCCCGGCAACGAACACATCACGGCAAAGCATTCATGGTATCATGACGCGCAGATAAACCCTTCTACTGGTGCGTTGAGCATCAGGCTAACTCAGTATATGGATCTGCCAGGACCAATTTCCTACATAACAGATCTGGATGGTTTTGGACTGTTCGCATTGCGAAGGAAGCACTTCACTGTATTCTTACTCTGCAAAAGAAGACTCGACAAGCTTATATCAACTTCAAATTCCTGCCAGCTTTTCGTGCTCAATGTGGATGATCAGACTCTCATGTATCTCGTGCTTCAGCGCTCATTTGTTGGTGGCCGCGACACATATAGCCTTGTGTCAACCTGTCCCCAGGTTTTGGTTCAGATGCCCTCCCACCGAAGCCATAACGAGCTGCCGATACTTCGATCTCTCACACTGGAAGACGTACAGTACAGCGTGTTTGACCAGCTTCAGGAAGTTTGGGAAATACTCTATCGCTTATCTTTCGATAAGTATGACCCCGGATTCCAAGAGCATTTTGAGCTGCAGCGCCTTTTTCCCGGTGTGAGATCAGGCCGCCAAATCTTGGCTACTCTTCGCGCTCTATATGTTGTTCTCCATTCTGATAACAAGAAAGTGAGCGAGACAGCCAGGCTGTCTATGTTTGAGAGTGCGTACCTTGGAGATATCAGCAGTAAATTGTCCCCGCGCGTCAAGGAGGAGAACTTGATCATATCCTTCCCAACTGCATGGAGAGATATATGTGGTCTGTATTTCCAAGACAGGCGGTTCGATAGACCCCACACCACATACTGGTGGTCCTACCGCTTCCGAGGTCAAGATCCCTGGATGCCTGCTCCGATCCCATACGAAACTTATAAAAGGATTCTCGAGTCGAGAAGAGACCAGTGCATCGAGGTGCGGCTGTCGATATCCAGGGCGCTCCTCGTTCTCGCCCTGTCGCCTGGGGCGAAGGCCCTGATGCATGCTGTCAAGAACGCGGTCAAGTTGACTGGGTTGAAAGACGCTCATATATGGGACATGCTGGAAGAGATGGGGCGAAAAGTGATTGCCCTAAAGGCTGGGTCGTCCCAGCCTAATCGTCACGCCGGAGGTGACGTGTCAGAATCTCCAGATTCCGTAGAAGAGAAGCTCGAACAGAGTCGCTTTATTGGGTGCGTATATGAGAAGCATATTACCCCAGACATCACATTTCGTCATCTTAAGGATGAGTTGGGAATGGATGGCAGCACCAGGCGGATAATCATCGAGTGATTAAGATCTCTAAATCTCGAGAAATTGCACCTGATGATGTAGGAGAGGCTATCCCCATACATGTAAGAGAGGAGGCGACTCTAGCTCTCTTCGCAGGAACAGCGGCTGAATAGTTTATCGTCCCAACGCTGGAACCTAGGACAGGAGCATCTCGGTAAATACGACCAAGTCACACATGCGGTGAGATCATGCACCAAGGCTTATGAAGCTAGCTCTGAACAGCCTCCTTTTTGGGGCCGCAGACCAACCGTCGAGAGGACATTAATGAAGGGCGCAAGTCAGCTCTTGATGATGTGATCTCCCATGGAGAATGGCTAAGATGTCGACTACTACCGAGCTGCGAGGAAGCTTTGGCAATATACCCATTTAACCCAGGCACTGTTGGTCACCATGATACTTCTATTAATCCAATGGCAACTTTTGCAGGTAGCTAGCTATACAACTATGCAACAAACCGTCTCTGCTAGCGTTCTGAATTACACAGTACCAATCGAGTCCAGGAAATACTTCTCCGGACAACAAAGCAAGATGAAGAACTTCCAGTTGCTCTTCGTATCATCGCAGCGGCCGACCACGAGAATGCTCGCAGATTTGGTGGTGAACGCGACTACGCCCAAGGATGTCTTTAGCTTCGTAACGAAAGTAAAAATAGGAAAGATTTCTATTAAAAATATCAAAATGAGACTTTTAGTTACCATTCTAGCTCTAGGAATCCAAACATAAGACCCTCCTCACCATTCTAAGCAAGCTCACACTCAGTATAATAGCAAAGCAAATGTAGTATGCACCCAATAGTCTATTTTAATTCAGAGCCATCCCTTTTTAGGCCTCTGGTTGACTCTGTTTCCCTTCATCTCTCCATCTGGTAGCAAGCTTCCATTGCACACCCAAGCCCAACAGAGCCAGAATCTGTGCAACGGCGCAGATCAGAAACGCCCAGCCGACTCCCACCCCATTCACCATGGGGATCGTGAAGCTCGTCCCACCCGCGGCAAAGAGACACCTGGCAAGATTCAAACTGGCGCTGGCTGCGGCGCTCGTACCGGGGAAGATGTCAACGAGGTAAGTCATGATGACAGTATAAATCGCTATCTGGGTCCAGCCTGTGATGAAGGTTGAGACAATGGGAACGGCAATGTGGACTTTGTCTGAGTAGTTGATCGTCCAGCCGAAGAGAATAATAGATAAAGACTGGACGAAGGAAAATACGGGTACCAGCCGAAGGCGCGCCTTCTCGAGAGGGAATGCTTCCTCCGAGGACCCGGCAGATCCTTCGATCCGACCCTCGTACGACGCCTTGACTCGGCGATAGTCAAAGTCGAGAATCTTGCCAGTTACCAACGTCCCGATTATACATCCGACGCCGTTAGCAATGAACGTCAGCCCAATCTGTGTGTCATTGAGGCCATAGCGCTCCGAGAAGAGCGATGACATGGCGGTAATGCTCATCTGCCACACCGCATAATGGACAGCGAGAAAGAATATGAATGGGGCGGCCAGCTTGCTGAAGAGGATCTTGAACGGCCCGGCGAGGTCGATGCGCTTCTGGGGAGGAAGTGTACCTGTAGCACTCCATCGCACCTTGGTGGTCTTCTGGTAGAACTTGAGGGGATATCGCGTAAAAACACCCTCTGGCGTCAGCGTCCCTGGTCCTACCTTTGACCTCAAAGTTTCCGGTAGAAGGAGGATCAGAAACACGAGGAATACGCCACAGTAGATGGTCAGAAACCAGAAGATGGATCTCCATCCCATCGAACCGGCCAACGCGCCGCCAATGACGGGTCCGATAGCAACAGGAGCAAGGACCCCGGCTTGGAAAATGCCCATGTAGCCGCCGCGCTCAGCCCTCGTGGTGATATCCCCAATGACGCCGGAGCCGATGGCGATGGTGCTGGCACTTCCGGTACTCTGTAGACACCGCAGGACCATGAGTGTGGCATAGTTGCGCGACAGGGCGAGGCCGATGCAGGCCCCGAGAAAGATGATGAAGGTGCCCACGTAGGCAGTACGACGGCCTCTAACGTCGGATAGAGGGCCCCAAAGACTAGGAGCGAGACCTTGGAAGATGAGATACGTGGTGACAGTGAGGTTGATTAGTTCGATTGAAACGTCCAAGTCGCGAGCGATGGTTGGCAGGGCGGGGAAATATATGTTGGATGCGAAGCAGGAGACTAAGCGGATGATTAGCAGTGATCAATGAGTAATGTGGCTTCGGCAAAGGTGCTCACATGTAGCAGCAGTTGAAACCAACAACACGATCAAGGCCTTTTGACGATTGTCAAACACGCTGTAAGGTTCCTCATCCTGCGGTGTGACTTCAACCGTGGCTGGTGGTGTGGTGATATCTTCGTTGTCTGGTGTGCTAGTCATTGTTGGATGTCAACGTCGAGAGCTTAGTTATTCAGGCTACTGTGAGTATAATGATACACCTTGTTTATGTGTTGTCTGATCTGGAAGGAGAAATTCAATGTTCAAATACAGGAGATGAGTCCGGAGCTCAGAAGCGGGTCGTCGGAGCTGAGAAGGACGTGCTCGGAGTTGAGCTATCGATGCTCCAGCCATGTCTTCTTCCTAATTTGATATTCCGGGCAACCTCAATTACATTTTCTGTGTGATAATTCACGGACTTTCCCCTTTACTCGCACAATCCCTATTCCTACTTGACAATGTCTGAGGACCGGCCCCTTCCACATGCGATCGACTTCAGCAGTCACTTTGCAGTTCTGAACCTCGATTTGATGGCTATTTTAATTGATAGCGTTCAAAAAGACATCCGGGCCGAGAAGTTCGTATCAAGTTGTGCTCGATGGTGCGAGGCTGTACACGAAAAGTCACCGAGGCCTATTACCATTTTCACTAGCCTTACGTTCTCGCATCCATCATGCCCTGAGCTAGCCAAAGGCTCGCCGTTCTCAAAACTCCTTGAAGGTTTTGGCCCCGAGAAATTTGCCAAAGGACGCCCCGAGGTTGAGATTCATCCCACATTCAAAGTAGACGAGAACGATATTGTCCTGGCGAAGACAAGGTGGAGTGGTACCTCGGGAAATAGCCTTGGGCAGTTACTGAAGGCACAAAACATTGATACCGTGATCATTGTAAGTAGGATCATGATTTTTCCCTTCCCTCTCACGGAAGTCTGACAATCCTCTGCAGTCCGGTATCACCCTTTCCGGCGTTGTCATGGCCACCATCTACCAACTATTTGACCTTGATATACAGGTCTATGTCATTCGGGACAATGTCATCGAATTGCCTCTGGATGATCATGAAGCATTCTCTAGAGTTATTCTGGATATGTTGTTACCTAAAATGAACTTACAGGTGATCAGCCTCGAAGAAGCATTGAGCGCATTGGATCGATGCTAAGCGCATCACAGCTTAGAGATAGACTATTTTGTAGCCTTTTAAATGCGAACAATCCATCATTGATTCAAATGTTGATTCGGATTCTGACAATAATTTCATTGTGTCAAGTTCCATGAGTAGCACTTGTGATGGCGTAGATCGTTATGCCGAATTCGTCTATATCCTCAAGCCACTGTTCTACCCTCTGCTGCCGAACAACAATATCCAAGTCGTTGAACTCCGCTGGAATCGCCCAAAGCTCGTCTAATCTTAGGCCACCCTCGCTCCAACGGACGAGGAAAGAATTGTACGCCGTGACCCATTCCCGTCGAGTCCCAGCCTGCCATAAGGACTTGCCTCCCGGCGCGAGCAGCCCACGCAGCTCAACGCCGAGAAAGGTTGGCGCTCCATCCTGCGAGGCAAGCATACTATCGAATAGATACATAGTGTAGAGCGTTCGGCGCTTTGCCTCGGCCAGTATCCAAGCCTCCCAGGGCGGGCGGCTATGTTGCTGCTCCTCTTTGCAAACGAGGCCTATCTTAGCAGCCGAGCATGCGAGCTCCTGCAAGTTCATCAAAGCCTCTCTGCAGAAAGGCTTCGACTCTTGACCAAGAGAGAAGAATATCACCATGGTGTAGACTAGAAATGCCTGGAAAGCCTGCAGGACGCCGCTACCGGTATATGTTGTGTGCAGCTCAAGGATACGAGCCATCTCTCTTTTTAATACTTCAGCAGCTACGTTTTCACTTCCGGGAACTGGCTTGTCAAAGAGCCGTACCAGCGTGAGACAGGTCGATAATGGATGGCAGTCCTGACCATCCGCCACCTGTAAAGGGTGAATGAAAGGTGGCGGGCAACCGCCACGAATAGATATTCCGGCGTACGATTTGAGCATGCGGTATATGAAGCCAGTCGTATTAGGCGAATAATTCTTTGCCTGCTGTCCAGGCACCGGAATGTAATTGTTCAGCCAACGATTTTGGATATCGTCTGCCTGGATTGGACAAATGAGCTCGACGTCCGAGAAGTTGAGAAAATCTTCAGCAACTGGTAAGATATTGTGCTGCCTGGTTGGAAAGTGCTGGCTTGAAGGGGTGCCCATCACCTGGGAATGGGAGGGACTGGAGATGTCATCTCGACTGTCAGATCCTGTGAGGGGAGCTGGAGACAAGAAGCTGTTGTCGGCGACCATTTGGGTAGCTGAATCGGAGAAAGTTTGTGATTCATCATCCCCTTGGCTGCTGCTTGCCGCCGTGTCTGGCTGGAGATAGACGCAGTCCAGCTTGCGTGAAGCACACCGGCCGCAAGAGCCGGGTCTGCGGTCACATCGCGTTTTCGAGATGTTGCATTGGCGACATGATTTCTGTCGGGAGTTTGAGTATCGTGACCCTCTCATGGTCTACGTCGCTCAAGCTACGGAAATTCTGAACACTGCTGGTAGTTGTTTCGGAGGAGTCAGGTCCATGTTAATGAGCTAAGTGAAATCTCCTCAACTCCGAACCCAAACTTCAACTCCGAGCCACAGGTACGTACCTAGTGAGCTACGTAAGATGGCGATCCACTCATCAATCTTTCTTTTAATCTATTAATAATCAGTACACTAGCCTAACAAAGCCCGAATCCACTGCGACTTGCGCCCGCTCCACATTTTTCGAGACCTCAAGAACATCGGCTTATGCCCCCGAACAGCGTGCCTTACCCTAGACTGCTTGGACACTCACTTCCGATCCCTTGGACTACGATCATGGTATTTCTGAATATGCTCGTCTTCTAGATTACGATATTTGTGCATGTAGATTAATATGAAAGCTTAAAAAACTCAAGAAAGCTAAATTAAATGTATTATTTCACTCGCGTACAGTGTAAGGCGCTGTTTCTCTTTCGTTTACATTTACCAGCCAATGTTGGCAAGTAACATAAGTGACACACATGGAAGTCATTAAAATTTTGAGACTTTTCTTTCGTCTGTTCTTGAGTCTTTCATCAGCTTGCTTTATATCACTTAGAATAAAATACATATTATACATGTCAGCTGTATGAGCTGAACTCTAGCTACCGTGTTATACATGTAAACTACAATTATAATGCTTTGTTCCTATCTGTCGGCCGATAGACGGTCCGTTGATTTAGCATTTCTGGTGTATTCGGATCATGACTCGGCAACATGACCACATCATGGAGTCTAGCGTATTGCTTGATTTGTTGCAAGCTCCGAAATGCCGTTTCCGGGTCGTCGTTGATGCCATCGGGCTGCTCACTGTCCAGATCCTCGATGCTGTACGTGGCATCTCCGACCAAGAAAAAGTTGGTGGGATCCTGGTTCTCGTTCTTGGCGCAAGCAATGAGCGAGATATGTCCCGGGACATGGCCTGGCGTGTCGACCGCGACAATTGAGGCGTCTTTCGTGATTGGATAGTATGATGCCCATGGGCCGAGGGTCTGCTGCGCTTTCTCAAGGATCCGCGGCTTGAAGTTTTTCGGCCAATGTTGCGGGGCACACCCATTGATGGTCGCATGAATGGGAGAGTTTCCAAAGGCGTCCCAATGTTCCTTGGTTGTATACACGGGAACATCTGGGGCTTCCTCAAGCAGTGAGGGTAATCCTCCGGCGTGGTCTCCGTGAAGATGACTGAGAACAATGGCTTGGAGAGATTCGGGGACAATTCCTTGTGCCTTTAGCTGTGATACAATCCCCTCGTCTTTCCTGATGACTGTTTGAGCGAAGAATCTCCCGGTACTCAACATGCTATGGTAACCGGGGTCGTTACACAGGGGCGATTCTCCAGTATCGAAAAGGATCGGTCCGTCCGGGTGAGAGATCAGAAAGACCCCAACAGGCAGCTCATCTGACCATGTCCGATCGAAAAATGACCTCATTCGCCGGAGGATCGCGTTTTTGTTGTCGATGGGCTGGCTTTTCATCGACGTCTTGATCTTTACTTTGCCAGTTGACAGGAACGTGATGGCCACGTCTCCAGGCTCCATTTTGGTAAGTCTTGATGCTTAGTGTGAAGTAATTGCAATAAGTGACATTGGAGATCTTTCCTCACTACGACATCAATTGGGATTTTATTTATCGCACATGCAGGCAAATTTCGGTAGTCGAATTTGCGCTGGTGGATATGGCGCGGTGCGTCGATTTGACCGGCGGGCTTCAATTCTCCCGATTGCGGAGTTTTGAGTTTCTGCTAAGATGTCGTGTCGTGAACTGGGGCCAATGAGCCCACTACTTGATTATTGTTTGTCACTCACTCATTCACACCCACGGGAGCCTTGGCGCAGCGGTAGCGCGTGTGATTCCAGTCCACAAGGTCATCGGTTCAAATCCGATAGGCTTCAAATCGATTTCATTTTTGCTTTTGACGCCTGCGTGAAAAAGGCTCACCAACACATAGGGAATTCTCCATAGTTGGCTACTGGCCTGCAAAATCTTGGCTCTATGTAGATGTACGCGCTGATTCGCGGTTGTGGACCGATGGATGTCAATTGAACCCACATGTCTCAAACCCAGAGAAGAGCGGTACGCTTTTCCCTCATCATTCAGATCGCCATTCAGGATCATTTTTAGCCCACAAGACCACTCAAGAGCTTCAAACCTCAGAGCAGTCTTGAATAGGATGTCGGAATTGCCCCAGTCAATCATTCCGCGAGACAAAGTGCTATATGCTTTAATTTTTTGTTAAGAAAAGTAATAGCACCAAGGGAGACAGACGGCTAGACGAGTGGTCACTCTTTACGCCGGTATAGCGGTCATTATGGAAAGATCAACCAACATTGATGTTTATTATTAGATTGTAATTCAAGTCGGCATAACATAGCAGACAGGATGCTCCATCTGCCGCAAAAGACAAACCGTGCGTAATTGAGCCAATAGATGGTGGAAAGAAGAAAGAAAACAGTTCGATGTAGTAAAAACCCTCGCTCCCGATACCTTTGCCGCTCTCCCAAGCGAGAATTCGAGGGGTATATATAATAAATGCATAATGATCAGATTGTAACAAAAGAAAAAGCATATGACGAAGCTTGAGCGCTCTGCGCATTTCTAGTCAAATATATAAAAGAGGGTTGCCAATGCCAACAATACCAAACGCAATCTTGTATCCAGACCGTTCGTTATCGTCGCATCGTATTATAAAGTGTTTATGTATGTCGTAAAGTAAATCGGTCGCGTAACGTAAAAAAATCAAGCAGAAGACTCCTTAGCCTCGGCACCCTTCTCAGCTTCGAGGGCCTCTGTCTTGGCCAGCTGCTCCTCCAGCTTCTTCCTAGAGGCCAGGGCCCTGGAGCGTCGTCTCTCATTTTGCTTGTCTCCGACGATATTGGGAACGGCCTTGATGGCCCGGAAAAGGGTGACGAAACCGAGTTTCAGCTCGCGAGCCGCCGCCTTGAAGTGGTCTTTGCACGCTTTGAAGCTTTCCCGGCCACTGCCGGCGCGCTTCCTGTTCTTGTAGGTTCTCTCCGCCTTTTGGGCCTGTTGGAGCTTCTCGGTCGCCTCGCGGCGGGTCATGACGAGCAGGTTCTCGGTATTTGATGTCATGCGCTTCTCTGCTTCGGTGGGCATGTTCTCCTCGTCGCCCTCGGTGGGCTCGGCCTTCTTCTTCTTGAATAGCGGCATGTTGATGAAATTAGTGTATATATGAATTAATGGGTATCAGTTGTTGCGATTAGGTTGTAGGTATGAATGAAAGTAGACGGAACGAACAAGGCCGGGGTGCTAGACGAACGATTGATTATATATCAGTTCTTGCTTGAACACTCACGTTTCTTCTGACACACCTTTCATTCGGCGTTGACCGATGGTCAACAATGTGGCATAAGGGTACTGCATTGTGATAGCCCAAGACTGGCTGGCGACGAGCGCAACAAGCCAATGGCAGTGCGAGGATCGTACTGGGAAGCAGATTGTGAATGCTGGAATTGCAGGGTCTGGCAGCCAGGGACTCAGATATGACCATGACCATATCATGCGTCAATGGACTAATTCGGTCGCAAGGGATGGCCATTGGCTATTACTGCATATGGCTATACCCATTTTGACTGTCACAGCATGAATTCTTATTTCTTTTCATCCAATTGTACGAAATAGGGACGCCATTGATGAAACACCTGTTAAGCCAAGTTGAGCACTCGACAGCGGGGCGAGTTGAAAGGGGACCATGCAGTCAAATTTCATCTCGTTATGCAAACCCAACATCCTTGCTGGCCTAAGAACTCTCAGCGTGAAGTTCCCGTTTACCCATGCCAAATATCGTGAAGGAGTAGTTCTTCACCCGTAGTTGCTATCAGATTACATTTGAATTTGGAAATATTTACAAAAAGGCCTTGAACTCCAGATACCCGTCATTAAGAATAGATCTACCCAGCTTCACACGCGATATATCTCGTAAATCGTCTAAATCGATATTTATCAACGCCGCAATAGTATTAATTCTCATGTAATATTCCTGTGACTCATTGTGCTAGTAACCCCTGTCCGATAACTCTAGCATCCTCATCGTCATCAGCATCAAGGTCGTAATCAAAGTCAGGCGCATCAAAGAAGCGCTCGGTCTCGCCCGTGACGGGCCTGTAGCACTCCCGATGACTTCTGAAGTGGCTGAATCCTGGAATCAGACTTGCCACGGGTGCTTGAAGGTGTAGGTCGCACTGGGGACACATCTGCTGTTGCGTGTTCCTCACTGGGCGTCTAGGCCCAATCAAGTCGCCGAAATTTAGGACGGCGAGATAGCTATGATTGAAGCTGGTAGGTTTTTAATGTTAGAAATATTTCTTTAGCATAGCTTTATTGATGTGCGGGTACTTACAAGACGAAGAGATACGGAATGGTTGCATATGTCGTCAAGGTGACCTGGCCAGACTCACGTCCAGCCAGGCTCTTCCATGTGAAGACCAGAATAGCCAGTATGCCAACTGCACAAGCGGCGTCAAATACCAATATCGTGATTGAAATGCATCGAGCCTGTCGCTGAAGTTTGATTGAATCTGGGGTATCTTCTGTCTGGCGGCGATAGCGGAGGAGCAAGCCAGCACAAATGGCGGTAGAGAAGGCCAGGATTGGCAAGCCCACGATCGGCCACATTCCTGAAATCACCGCATTGGCAACGGATAGAACCAAGTTGGGGATGAAGCTCAGGATGATCAGCTGGCGGACAGGATGAGTCAGAGCCCGTGGTTTCGTCATGATGCACAAAGAAAGCCGTGGTGAATTCTGTGCACTTGATTTAATTGATTCTGGTCCCCAGATAGATTTTGCAAAGAAGGAACGCAGAATTCTTTTCTTTAGGCTAGATAAACCGATTGATGCGGTATGGGAGGAAAGCATTATAAAATCGCTGACCCCCTGACGGTACGCGCATAA